TATTTATATTTAGGTATAATTTAATATTTGGATTATATGTTGTTTCGTTATTTTCATTTCGCTCTACCTTTTGTTAGCACTGTTTTCTTGCAATTTTTTGGATAGGAGTTTAAATTTCAATAAAAAAATTAAACTTAGTAAAACCAATATTCTACAAATATTTAATGTTTTTTTAAGTTCTAATATAATTCTCTAAAAAGTTGCAGCAAGAAATAAGAATTCACGAGAATATTGAAGTAAGCACTATTTTTTTTAAGGCAATTAATTGATCGCGGTAATTGTGTTTAGGTAATTTTAGTTGATTGGGATAATTAATCCATCCATGAAATTCAATCGAAATATTCCGTTACATTATTAAGCTGCTAACTAAGTGATCGCATACTTGTTAAAAGTTTAAAATATGTTATACATATTATGCATTGATTGAATTAATCTGTAAATTGTTCCGAAATAAATCCGATAACTTAACTTAGAATTAAAAGCTGGATTATAAAAGATTGATAGACGAAAGAAAAATCAAGAAAAAAAAAACGAAAAAGTAAAAAGTAAATTCAAAAATTCCATTTAATTTTAAAATGCAACATAAAGATTACCCAAAACATGAATTCCATTCTAATAATGTCAGTTTAAATTTGAATTTATTAAGAGCATGCAAATTGACGAAACTAACGTGACACTTCAAAGAAAGACAATGACAATTTTATCAAGATGTATATGTTTCGAAAATTCGTATTTCGTCCTTATTTTCTTATACAATTAAAAAATTGATTGTAAATGATAGTAATCATTCAAATTTAAGATGTAAGGTATATGTAAAAATCTATTATTAATAGAATGGATTAGTATGCAAATTGAAAATAAAAAGAAAATGAAATCTTTTTTTTTATGAAGAAGGGAAGACACGAAAAGAAAAGTGTTAGTTAATTTATGCATGAAAATGAAATCAAAAATTGAAAAGATTATTTTCAAAAACAGTAATGAAGAGCCATTTGATATTGTATTGATGATATCATTATCACTACCATTGTCATTGTCATTATCACTCTTTTGAATTATTAGTAATATAACCGAACAACAAATTGGATAATGAAAAAGAAAATTTTGTGGAAATATGATGAAATGAAAATGACATAAATGAGTTAAAATTTAGATATTGTAATATATAAGAGAGAAGAAGAAAGAGGTAACGGTAAAAAAGGGGAAAAGAAGAAAAGAAGGGAAGAAGATAAGAGAGGGGAAAAAAAAGATAGAAAAGATTGGCAAGCAAAGAGATGAGAAATAAGGGATAGGCTGGTATTTATATTTGGTGATGATTGTTGTTGTGAGAGTTTTGATGGAAGACAAGGTGGCACATTCTCTCATTTATTTGAAGGTTGAAATGAAGCAAATGGAAGGTCAAATTAATGAGGTCAACTGGACTATTTCTCTCTTCTTCTTGCCCTGATTGCAAAATCCGTAAGACAGCCTGAACAACCGATTGACGCCTAGCGACATTGACAGCCCATTATTTACTGCGGTGGGTGGTGTATGTATACGCTTTCACCATATATTATTATCATTATCATCTACCATGATAATTTTCCAACCATATCATTTATCCGTTACACCACAAAAACAACGATCACGATTGTTATTATCATTCATGCTACTACTTTTACTACAACAAAATGTGGTAATTGCAACAATTTTTACGAATAATACAGTTCCTGCTATTTCGGTATCTCCGATTATCAGTGCTACAGTTATCAGTATTACTACTACTATCGCTACCGCTATAGAACAAGTTAGATTTTAGAAAAAGAAGGAATTTTTGTTTTTATATTAATATAAGAAATTATATAACTGTATAGTTTTTTTCAAATTTTGTTTAAAAATTTTCAGGAAAATGGTATGAAAAATGTAACTGATTCAAAATATACAGTATCAGATATTGGTTTAGACTGTGCACAAGGATGGGAGAAATATAGGTCGAAATGTTTTCGGGTATATACAATTGAACGATCATGGCCACAGGCATTATTATTTTGTTCCAGGTAAAATAATCAAGTAATTAATACATGTTTTGGGTTATCCAGCAATTTAAAATAATATCGTTTATTGTTTATTATTAATACTGCCATGATCGCTATCATTATTTGTATTATCATTATTAATATTATTATTACGTTTTTTTTTTTTTGTTTCATAATTGTCTCAATTTTAAGTTAAAAAGATGCTTTTAGATTGAAGATGCACAAAAGTCGGGTTTACTAATAGGTGTAATGTGTATTGATTACAAAATTTGACATTCATTTTTTTTTTGTTTGAAAATTTTAAAGATTTTTAGACAAAAAATAAAGAAATAAAAATTTTTTCGAGAGCCATCATTTATAAATTTTTTTTTCAATTAAAATTTGAAATTCAAAAATTTAATCTCCATAGAGTAATTGCTTTTTTTGAGTTTTTAATTTGATGCTTGTAGATTTATGTTCGATTTGCACAATTTATTTTAATTTAAATTAACGTATGATATGTTCTTTTGAATAATAGGTATGGAAGTCAACTTGCACGTATCGAATCATTCGGAGAAAATACCTTTTTGTATCGTTTAATCAATCGGCAACAAAAAATTCTTTCAATAAATCGTAATGAATTTTGGATTGGTATGGATTATTTTTATGAAATTAACACCAATTACATTGATAATTTAATTATCAATGAAAATTTATGACAATTAATTGAAATTATTTTATTAAAGGTGTTGTTGCACAACAAACGGAAGATGAAGATTCATACTTTTTATGGTCTGATGGTACCATAATATCGCGTTATGTTGGTTTTTGGAATGATGGACAACCAAATTATAGAGCTGGAACTTGTGCAAAGGTATTCTTACTACTTTATTAATCGAAAATTATTCCGCAATAATGCAAAAAAATTTTGTACATCGACAAACCTGAAGGATATATTTATTGTAATTTCAATCTGTGTTTCATTTTTTTTTTTCCTTCAAAAAATTTTGAATTTTGTAAATCTCAAACTAACTGAAGTGTGTAAAAAAAAGCGGGAAACGAGAAGAAGAGAAAGGAATAAACAGATGAAGTTAAGTGATAATATTGTAAGATCATAAAAATTATCAATTTTCATGTATAATTCATTTTCATGTATAATAAAAATTATCAATTTTCATGTATTTTCATGTATAATTATTAAAATTATAAAAAGAATAAATGATCAAAATGAATCAGTGAATAATTTTTACGATCTATTTTATTGAATGATGAAATAAACGTTGAATTGAGGTAAAGTTTATTTATTGTTCAAATTGATAATGATAGCGATACGAACATAACAAATTTATAGGTGTCGATCACAACAACCGATGGACTACGATGGGGTTTAGAAATGTGCAATACACTATTACCATTTATATGTGTACTACCTGCATGCATGAAAGGTAAGCCAATAAATAATATGACAAAGAAGAAGAAGAAGAAGAGTACATGAGAATGTGAAGATTGAAAATTTCAAGTATGAATAAAATGAAGTGAGGTAAGATGGGAAAGATAGCGGTACTCAAATGACCTTGGCATCGGTCCTTGTACCAATCGCCGATTAAAACAATAAAATGAATGCAATGAGCAAAATGGAAACTTCATCTTTTATCATTCCTATTTAAATTGATTCATATTTAAAAAGTTCAATAATATAATTTTTTTTTCTGTT